AAACTTTTATTTATTTTTAGGAAAATGTGACACGGCAATTTTTTTTTCTGACAACCAATATTGACACCAGAGTTCAAGTTGCTCTACAAAAACTAAAATCCATCTGTGAATATTGTTTTAAGAGCAAAGGATGGAGTGGATAAGCCAGAGAAAGTGCACTTAATATAAAAGATTAGATTCAGGACACTGAGGTTATGAACCTAATTTTGAAAAACATTTATTTCACAGAACACTTTCTTTTCTCCCTTTATGAAGAAAAATAAAACCAGGTTGGACATTTTTCACATACAACAGCAAAAATAGACTCTTAAGAGAATGTAGAATAATCAAACCGGCGCTGCTGAGTGTGACTCACAGCAGCTCCATGTGTTGCAGTGCAGCTCTTACATAAGGTTTCCTTGGCTGTGAGCCCTGTGGAAATTCAGCAGGCATTTCTTCTGGGGAGCAGCTGGGTGGGTTCGAGTCACAAATCTTTATTTCACTAGCTGATCTCAGAGCACTTGTGTCACACAGGCTTCTTAAGCGAATAGCACATAAATTCATGGAAATAAACGTAGAAAGCAGAGTGGTGGTTAATAAAGTCTAGAAAAGAGGAGGAATGAGGAGGTCTTGCTTAATAGATACTATTTGGAGTGAAGAAAAAGTTGGATGGTAGCAGTGGATTTACAACATTGTGAATGTAATGAATGTGATTAAGTTCTGCACTTAAAAATTGCTAGAATGGTGTGCTGTCGAGTCAGATGGAGATGTACAGATATAGATATTGTTGTTATTGTTTATCTTTGAGTTGGAATTGACCCCCAGCTGATCCTCTAGTGGGTTTCCAATGGCAGGTAATGGTGCAGGAGGAGACTGCTCATCCTTCTCCCGCGGAGGAGCAGCTGCTGGGATCTGAACCACATGCCTTCAGGATTACAGTGCAACTTCTTGCCGCTAGGCCACCAGAGGTCACTAGTAATATATAGAGTTGTTGATTGCCTTTGAGTCAAGCACGACCCTATGAACAAAAGGCCTGTAGCCCCTCTGCTGCAACTATAGACATTTACCAAATTTCATAGTTTCCAGAGGCAATCAGTTGTTATGCATCAGAGAGTTGTACAAAGATTAGGGAGGAACTTTAATCTGTGGTGCTGGAGAAGTGTACTGAATGTACCACGGAATGCTAAGAAAACAAACAGGTACATGCTGGAATGGGTTAAACCAGGCTGCTCCTTGGAGGCAAGGATTCTGAGGCTTCGTCTGACAGAATTTAGACATGTTGTAAGGAGGGACAGGTCCTTGGAGAGGGACATCATGCTTGGGAGGGTGGAGGGACAGCGCAGGAGGGGAAGGCCCTCTGAGATGGAGTGATTCAGTGACTGGGATAATCAGTATGGGTGTGTCAGAGATAGTGAGATCGGCATAAGACAGAGTAGGGTTTAGGGCTGTTGTACATAGGGTCACTATGAGTCGCAAACGACTCGACGGCACATAACAAGAACAACAACAACAATATATATATGCATCAGCAGCAACAACAACAACAACAACAATATATATACATCAGCAGCTTTCTATTTCTATTTTTTCAGATATTCAATGTGCTTCAAAACTGATGTATAATTTCAAGTTGACCCTTAACATGAATTTGAACTGTAATGATCCACTCAAAATCAGATTTTGTTTTTATGTTGCTTTTATAGAATTTAACTAGGTTTGAGTATTTACTTAAAATGTCCTGTGACGCTGATCATTTCCGATGCGCAGAGAAGGACTGCTAATAATTCTGATGTTGCTGGTTATTGGGCAAATGTTATACAATTTATCAGATTTAAGATTGGAAACATTCTTTGAAAGAATTTCAGAAGGAATAGCAACATTTTCTTTATTTTTATTTTTTATTTTATTATTTTGGTTTGTGTACTGTCAAATAGGATCTGACTATTACAGGAGGAGATTGTCCCTCCTTCTCCAGGAGACCATCTTGTGTATTCGAACTGCGTACCTCTGGGATTGCAGTGCAGCTTCTTGCCACTAGGAAACCAGAGCTTCCTAATATTTTCTTCAAAGAGGAAAATTTAAAAAAAAAAAAAAAATTAAAAAAAACACTATGTATTTGTATTTACATATGATGGCTTTTACAAAGACAGGTTCAATCCACATCAAACTCCTTCCTAGGAATAGAGTCTCCTTCAAGGAATGCAATTCTTAAGTAATCCACATTATTAAATTCAGGATCCGTATTACTAAAATGTCCTCCTTAGGGAGCAAAAAACTTCAGGCAGTGTCCTTTAGGAGTGAAGAGTCTGACAAAAAACTCAACAAATGTGAATAATTAACTGTTGGCATGTGAAAAGATGACAAGTACACTATAAAAATATTTACTCCCAAATATCTCTTAAAAATTTAATATAGTTTTAAAAGACTGGATCTACAGTATTGAGTACAAGAGGTTATATTTCTGTCATCTAAATGATCTTATACATTTAAATATAGGTTGCATGTCAGATAAAAAACAATTAGTTTGATGGTAACTTGTACCATTACAATATAATTTAAAGCATAAATTCTGAAGGAAAGCTCAAAAATCTGCCATGCAGTCATTTTCAACCCCTTTTATAGTATAGAGTGAATGCCAAAATATAAACAAAATCTGAGCCAGGGTGCCCAAAATCAAAACTTTTCTTCCAAGAAGAACAGAGGTTTGAGCCCTACCTGACCAGAAAAAAAGGGTCTCTCGCTACCCTTGAGAACTGAAGTAAGAAGATAGCAGAATACTTTTTTAATTGGATTGAAAGCCATAGATGAATACATTGAAAATAGCTTAAGATTGTTTTCAGATAAAATTTATGGTAAAAAATATTCTTATTTTTAATTTGGTATACACTTATAAATGTGTCTACATATTGTTGAGAAAGGTAAACATTTAAACTAAAGTAACATTATCAAAGTAGCTTTGATTCTTTTATTTACATCCTTTTGATAAAAAGAGTGAAGTACTTTATCATAATAGAATTTATGTCATAAAATTTCTTAACAGGGACTAGTATCCAGTTGTTAAATAGAATTATTCAATTCAATGACCCTACTGTATTTTGCTTCCCGATGCCACCAAATCAGTGGTCTGAAAATATCCTGGCCTAAGTAGACATTGATTCACTTTGATTTAAGATCTTACTATTTACTCAAATGGAAATAAAAGAGTTTATTTTTATTCAGTCAATAAAATGCATAGCTTTCACTCCTAAAAAATATGACAAAGAGATTGAACAAATATGACATGCAATCACTTTGATAAGAAGTCCTCCTGGATAGAAATAAAAGAAACTGAGATGATATTGCTTGAAATGATCAGATTTTTTTAAAAAATCTACAAAAGAAGAAGAAAAAGCAATTCTTTATTTTTATCCAAATATATTATCATTTCATTATTTAATTAGATTCAACAATAAGGTGACCGACCGTATATCATCTAAACCAGGACATTTTGAAAATGAAAAAGAGAACTATTAAGAACAACACTAGTACACCCTGTATAAGCTGGAATTCCCCCACCACAACCCCATATAAACCCATGAGATCACACCTTTCCCATTGGTTTCTGGAAAAAGACAAAAAACTAGAATAGTTTGACAAAATTAATCCTGACAGTACTGGTTCTTTGTCATAATTCAGGTCTCTAAATAAGTATCATCTCTTTTATAAATCTTTCACTACCTCTAGTATAAGCAATTATTACCTCACCCAGTCATTTTGCATCATGTTGCCTTTGTTTCATTTGCTTCATTAATATTTTGATTGTCTGAAATGATCTCATTCATTTCTTATCCTTCTCCAGACTGCCCCATGCCTATGCCCTTCCTGGACTACAGGAAAGCTTTGGTGAACTTTTTTGTTTTAATTATGTCTGAACTTCATTAAATAAAACCAGGTAAAGCATAGAATTTTTTGTTGAATGAAAGCACTTGGACAGTTTGGTTTTTAGCACATCTTTTTGGCGTTAGACAAATTAAAATGACCCTTCACATAAATTATGGCTCTTTAGTTTATGTGATTAAACTAAATTATCTTTGTTGTTTCTTTCATTGTTAATACTAATTATACCCAATGGGCCTCATGCCTATCCCGTCATTATTTCATACTACATTCAGAAAATAAGAATGTTTGGGAGGATACAAGAGTAGGGCAACTCGCTCTATTCACAGTGGATGGATACTCAAGGTTGATCATTTTGCCAGTAACAATGCCCTAGTATATATTTGCACCTACAGATTTTGTTTGATACAGAGGTAGCCAGAAGGTTTTATTCTAGTGAATGATAAAATTGCTGTTGTAATTTATCAATAAGAAAATCATCACTGAATTGCTGTAAAATGAGCAATAGTTGGCAATAGTCTTAAAATCAGTCATTAAGTTTTGATACAATGAAAAGTAAATTTGATTCAATGAAAAGTAAATTAATTCTGGGAGGATTTTGTATTGCTATGCCCAAAGAAGTTTTAGAGGAAAACTTCAAGATATTCAACGAGAACTTCAAAATACTCATAAAGACCTCTGCACTCTAAATCTTTATTTATAGGTACTTATTCTAAATCTTTATTTTATAGGTTGTTGTTTTTTACTATTGAGTTGGAACCCCACAGCTGACCCCCCCCAGTGGGTTTTCAAAGGCAGTAATATCCACAGGAAGAGCTTGTTCTTCCTTTTCCCATGAATACTTGCTAATGAATAAAAATAAATCAGGAAATAATGTAAACCTGCTAATTTGTGTGCAAACAGAGATCCAAGACACCAAATCAAATTTATTTAAATAAGAAAAACAAATCTAAAATAAAATAAATTTATATGTAAGATATTCTCTATATATCGAATATTAAGTCATCATTGGACAGTACCTTCTCCCTGAACTTTGAATGCTAGGCATGGAATAGGTTCTTCAGGCAAAGAAATTAATTAACCCTGCTACAACAAAGGCCATAACAAGAGAACAGCATTAAAAAGGAGACTCAATTAGACATACATATTTGAAGCATAAATATTTATCATCTGTTTTCATTGCAGTATCATGACTCCATAAGGATAAATAAATCTTTAAAATGATAAAAACCTCTGAAAAACAGTTAAAATATTTCCAAGTGACTCCGTTTAAAACAAGGACCCTTAGTTATATCATTTCAGTTAGGTTACCTTATATTCAGCATAAGTTGGTTATTTTCTATTATCATGAACCAGCATTTGTTTAAAAGCCAAAATCACATTTGTATTTGGTTGTATACAGAACAGATTTCTAAATTTTCTTTAGGCCAAGAAATAATCAATTCGCAAATAAGCCAATGTTTGTTTTCCCCTAGTAATATCATATTTTAAAAAATTTATAGAAATTGTCAATTATTTACTGTGTACTGATATCCTCTAAAATTTACAAGTTAAATACATAATGGTTATATTTTTGCAGGGCCATAAATAGTACAAACTTGTGATACTCTCCAGTATAAAATACAACTGAAAACTTCTGAAGACCTTAAACAGCAGAAAACATTAAATAAGATTCTAAAATGACAAATAATTTAAGGCTAAGATATTTGGTATTAATAATTAATGCCAGTAGCCTTTGTTGTCTAATAAACATGCACAAGAACTACAACTTTGAACAAAACATCACAATTTTATCGAACGTATGTATGTGTGTGTATATATTTAAATACATATATATACACACACACACACACACACACAAATATATATAAATTTTTATCGCCCTGAATGCTATTCACTCATGTTTGGCTTAATACATATGTTAGAAATGTCAGGGAGAATGCCACCCCTTTTAAATATATATATATTTTTTTTCCAGAATACACAATATAAATATGCCATATATAAATCATGCCATAAAACTAAATGCAAAATCTGCACATTATTGCATGCTTGATGTGATAATACATGCCCATTAGGATGAACTTCTTTGCGATGTCCTTCCTTGGTGGAATCTTGCTGCTTATGCAGCAAGAATACCAAGAATACTTGGGAAGTGTTCTCAAATATGCATATAGAACTTTGAGGAAAATGTATCTTTCCTACTTCTTAGGGAGGATTATCTCATTAGCCAAATATTGGACTGTTACTAAATTGAACATGAAATAATGCCTAAGGGGGTGTGTTGTTATGTGAATCGATCAGAGTTCATTTTTCTTAATTTGGCGGGAAGGTTCCCTTCCATCCTAGCAGCTCCTCCAGCCATCTTTTGAAGCTTTGGTGGCAAATCAGCCACAGACTGGCTCATGGGATCAGATAGCATCTTGGTGGTTTTTGAGACCAGTTTTTCTTCTGAGTTGCCAGGAACTGAACTTATTCGTTGTAGTTTCATGGGCAAATCTCCCAGACTGTAGGCTTTCTCTGAAGTTGTGGAACTCATTCTCAAGAGTTTTTTTGGAAAGTCTTCTCTGCCAGTAATTTTCTGCAACTTAGATGGCAGCTTTGTACTAATGTCATCTAGCCCATCCAAGCATTCCACAGAATTATGTCTTTCTTTACTGTTAGTTATGGCTGGTGCTATTAAAGGGGATGACATGAGAAGCATTTCCTCCTGTTCTTTCACACTGTACGGTGGGGTGGGGACTTCAAATGTTGCATGGAATTGGGAGTAATCAACCTTAAAAAATCCTTCCTCTAAGGAAATTACAGGGAAAAAACGATGACCCCAAAGAACTTCATCTTCAGTGTATGATGTTCGAGCTTGACAAGTCATCCCTACGAGCAAAAAGAAAGTTCTTGATAAATTATGCATAGTGAAAGCTCATGGACATCCAGTTTAACCTAAAAAGGTAATTTTCCATTCTGATTTATACTTTGCACTTTATAGCTGAGTTAAATAACCAGTGAGATTTGAGACTGAATAACACAATATGTTAAAAACTTTGCTGTACGTTAATGTCTGCATATACTCTCTATACATGAAAAGCATAGAACAGAGCTCATCTTCATGTTTGAGGTATGTCATAACATAATTGATAATGTACTTTACATAAACCCAAAAGTAAAAATGTCAGCAATAATTTCATAATGTTCCTATACAAGGAAATGAATGGACAAATTGTGCAACAAATTTTCTATCATACAAAAAGCAATAGATTAAATAATTTTTATTTTAATCTAATCTTTGTTTTCCCCCCTGTAAAACAAAGAAAATAAGTCTTGCTTGAAAGGACTGCTGTGAACATTAAATAAAATGATATAAAATATGTCATCTTATGCCTATGCCCACCAATTGCTCTAGAATCATTCCATGTAATGTTTGCCTCTTAAATAAGTAACATTCTCACATTGTGTGTTTAACAATGAAAGCTGGTGATGTGATATAGAGGACTGAGAGAATTATTTTAAGATTTTGCTAAATAAGTAAAAAAAGATAATCATGATAATTATTGAATCATGATAAATTGTTTTGATGGTTCCATTTTTCCGGACCTCTAAGGCCAAAATCAACATTTGTTAATCTATATGATAAAATTTGTACTCATTTCTCTAACTCGTCCTTGCTCTAGAATCTCTGAAATAGAATGACAGGTAGCTCTGCAGCATAGTCCATAAAGTATTACAATGCTAGCCAAAAGGCTACATTGTGGGCAGTTCAAACACACTAGCTGCTCTGCACAGGAGTGACGGGGCTTCTGTTACTGTTAACACCCTCAGAAACCTTGGAGGATCACTGTGAATCCAAACCAACTTGACAGTAATGAGTCTGATTTTTTTTTTACTTCTCTTTTGTGTTATTGTTGTTGTAAACTATCGAGTCTGAATCAACCCTTAGTTGAATCAACCCTCTGGTGGGTTGTCCTAGGCGATTAATTGCACAGGAGGATATTGCCCATCCTTCTTCATGGAGCAGTGAGTGGATTCGAACTGTCTGCCTTCAGCATCGCAGCACAGCTTCTTATCACAAGTTACTTAAATATATATATATAATTTACCCCATGCTGCTGTGACTTGGGAGCCCAGGTAGGTTATTTCTGAGGCTTTTAAAAACTATTAGATATTGTTATCTTCATAAAGCATGGAGCTCTGGAGTTACCGTCAAGCCAGTTAACATCTAAATATTCATCTTTTGAAGTTTAGAGGTGAAAAAAAACCCCTTAAACCATATTAAGTCTTATCTTGGTCAAAGAAGGAATTTTTGAAAGTAAATAAATTGACTGCTTTCTAATCAGAACTCTGAAAAAGGCTATACAAATGGAAGCTAATACAGAAATAAAAATATACAATCTCAAAAATTAATTTTTTTGAGGGTGTTGCAAATTAATTATAATTTAAATTAGTGATATTATTTCTTCATTTGTTTAAATTCTCTTGTAACTGTCACATTAAGCTATTTCTATTGTTTTTTACAGCTGGCATGGTTTGAAGAAAGTAATATTTTTTCTTTTTTCTCTAATTTGTAATCATAGATAAAATATGTCAGAGAATTAAGACAAAATGCACAATTTTAAAATCTATATTAAAATAAGTTTTATCACTTGCACACGATGTAATTCCCGATATAAATTTACACAGAGAATACTCATTGTATGTGAGGCATTTGGTGTTCTCTTTTCATCCATCCATCCATCCATCCAAGCCTCTATCAATCAATCAATCATATTGTATTCAATCCATACCACACTAGTCTGTTAAAAGTTATTCTTAGCTTGAACATAAGGATTCTAGTACTCTTATTTGGGCATACATTTAGCAAGCTGGAAAGGACTCCAATTTCTCTTTTATTTGTTTTGCTTTTTCATGATGCTTCCTTTATTATAGATTGAAATCTAATTTTAGATAATTTGCCCATTGAGCTCTCTAATAGTATAAAGCTGATACCAAGTAAATATCAAACCACATAATTGCTATTATATCAAAAATTATCCCCATTCTACCAAATGTACCTGTATTTAGAAAACAAAATAACTTAACAAAATAATTTGTACATTTAGAACACATACAAATATCAATCTTCCATATTTTTGGTAATTTTTAAGCCTATAACTAAATATTTCATAAGCAAAAAATCAAGTCATTCTTTAATAAGATAGGAGAAAAATGTTTTTCTGATATATCTATTAGATTTTATTTTAGTAAATTTAGATAAAGAAAAATAACACTACCTAGAATAAAAGACAAATATGTAGTGTTCTTATCATTAACATATGATGGAAACAAATAAGTATTTCATCCTCAAAAATATCTATCTTGTAAACTATCTTCTCAGACAAAATCATTGATTTAACATTAAAAATAAATCATATATTCATTTTTAATTCCTAAAAAAATTCCACAGCTGTTGAGTAGGAACCAACTCACAACTAGTCCTCCACCAGGATTCAAGGTTGTACTTAGCACTGAATGAGATTATAGATCTTTCTAACTGCCTGTGGATTTAAAGAGTCAGAGAAGCGAAGCCTTTGGGTTAACGGCTTTACAGTCTATGCTACCAGAACTCCCTACACTATTAAGTTATACCACTTAATTTGCAATCCCATTTTAATTAAAAAAAAATCTAAACAAAACAAAACTCCATTAAATTGGCTGTCACACTTACCAACGTTTCAGTCAGTGATTTAAAATTAGGAAAGGTGTGTATCAGTGTTACTGTCACCATATTTACTCATTTTTATGAAAGCAAATAATCTGAGAAGCTTGACTACATAATTATGAATTTGTCATCAGTACTAGAGGAAGGCAAATTAACAACTTGAAATTGTATAGATGACATAATTTTGATTGCTGAAAAGGAATAATACTTAAAGTACTTACTAATGAAGGTCAAATACTACAGCCTTCAAATGGATTATACCTCAATAAAAAGAAAAGAACATGCTTCAAAGCTGGATAAATAAACATTATGTTAAGTGGAGAAAAAGAAGTTGTTAAGAGTTTCACTTTCCTTAGCCCAACTACTTAGGGCACAGAATGCACAGAGTATGAATCTGGGGAAATCAGAAGTTGTAACAGATGAATTGTATGTAACATACAAAGTTCAATATCCTAGGAATTAGTGAGTCAAACTCGACTCCTGATGGTCATTTTAAGTCACACAATTGTATGACCTTCTATGTGAGGAATGACTAATTTAAGAAACTTGATGACACATTCACCAACAAAAAGAACATTTCAGTATCTGCCCTGAAGCACAATTGTGTCAGTGATAACATAATATACACATATATCCAAGGAAGATCTGTCAATATAACTATTATCGAAATGTACCACTAAAACAATGATGAAAAAATTGAGACTTTTTACTAACTTCTGCAGTCTGAAATTGACCAGTCGAGCAGTCATGGAATTAATATGGAAACAAAAAAGAACTGGTTCTTAATTTTAAAATATTAGGGAAAAAATGGAACTAATATAATAAATGAGGCCAGAGATCAAATGAAATAATATGATACATTCAATGAAGCACATTTCAAAAGCCTATAAAAGGGGGCATACCGATGAATCTTGCTTGATAAAATACACATGAATCAAATGACTAGCTCTGGATGGTGGAAAAAGTAAGTATCAGCAAACAGACTGATCAGTAGGGGTTAACTTTGGAACAGACCATCACTTGCTTCTATGAAAGTGTAAACTCAAACTGAACAAAATGAAAATAATCCCACAAGGGCAAAATAAATCCATAGATTCATCTCACTTGAATTTAAAAGCCATTTTAAGAATACATTTAATGCTTTGTACATCAAGTCAAGAAGAAGTTGTGCAATGACATCAAGAACATCACACATGTTGAAAATAAAGGGTCATTACAAAGACAAGAAGAAAAGAAAAGGCCAAAGGGATATCAGCAGAGACTTTGAAATTTAATCTAGAAATCTAGAATGTAGAGAAGCTAAAGCAAAAGGAAGAAACGATGAGATAAACACAGTGAGACAGATTTCAAAGAGCAGCTGAAGAATACAAAGCGTCGTACTGAAATGTGCCAAGACCTATTTTGGACATGCAGTCAGGAGGGGTTAGTCATGGGAAAACACAGCCTGCTTGAAGAGTAGTGGATTCACAAAGTGGATAAAGTCCTTCAAGGAGAACTGCCACAGTGATTACAGTGATTGCCACAGTGGAGTTGAACATGGTGGAAATTATGAGAATGACTCGGGCTTGTACAAGGTTTCAATATGGAGTACATAGGGTTGAAGTTATCTTGTGGGCTTACAAAAACTGAACAGAGAATAAGGAAGACTGCAGAACAGATGTGTTTAAATGATAATGTATCTTCTAGAAGATACACATTTAGATTGTTATTTAGAAATGAGGATAGCAATACTTTGTCCTATATACTTTTTATTTCTATTGACATTTTAATGAAAATTTATAGAGAACTTGGGTTTCCATTCATTCATAGTTGCACATTTTCCTTCCTGCCCCTACCCCAGTTTACTCTTCTCTTTGAAAAAAGTTCTTTCATTGTTGTACAAACACACACTCCCTCCTCCCACCCCCAGTCCACTTTAGTATGCAACTCATTACAGACAGTTGTCATGTAATTAGTACCTAATCATATATTTCTTTTAAGCAGTTATTTCTCTCATCTGTTACAATACAGTGTACCTTATTCATCTCCTCTTTTCTTAGTTTCTCCTCAACCATTCTACATAGTTTTGACATGTCATCAGTAGGGACCAGTCCTTAGAGAATAAAAGACAATGCTTTATAGACATGTCAGCAAAAAAGAGGAAGATCTTGAATGAGATGAATTGACACAGTGACTGACCCAG